GAAAGAAAGAAAGAAAGAAAGAAAGAAAGAAAGAAAGAAAGAAAGAAGGAAGGAAGGAAGGAAGGAAGGAAGGAAGGAAAGGGAAGGAAGGAAGGAAGGAAGGAACGAAGGAAGGAAAGAAGGGGAAGGAAGGAAGGAAGGAAAGAAAGAAAGAAAGAAAGAAAGAAAGAAAGAAAGAAAGAAAGAAAGAACAAGGAAGGAAAGGGAAGGGAAGAAAGAAAGAAAGAAAGAAAGAAAGAAAGAAAGAAAGAAAGAAAGAAAGAAAATAGCGGAAAACAGACTAGTCCAAACTAGCTCAGGCAGGAAATCGTATGTCATTTAAGACAAATGGTTGTCCAGTCAGCCCCTATTTCCATTTGGGGGGGGGTCCCTAAATTTCATGGCCCAAAAGTGGGGGGGACCATGACCCCGCCTTGTTTTGATTGAAAATAAAACCGACAAATAGCGTACATTGGGGTTCACAGCTGCTGCGCCTGCGCAGTGCAGCCAACCCCACGCTTCCAAAGCCTCTTTCGCTTAGCTCGGGCGCCTGTTCCTTTAAAGGCTCCCGGCGCGTCTCAGCCAATCAGCGGCGAGGAAGGTGGCAACATTTACCCGCGGGGAAGCCTCAACGTTCCATCCGGTCGGGAAGCGCTCTGCTCGGCGGGATGTTTTATCACGTGAGTTTAGCGCGGGGTCGTGGGGAATGGGCGACACGCGGGTACGCGCCCGGGCCGTGTGCAGGTAGCTCCTGCAGCGGGGAACGGTGGGGGAAACGAAAGCCTTGTTGGTGAACTCGCGTGTATTGACTTGCGGGCCACAAAGCGGCTTTTTCTACCCGGGATGACCCAGACACGATAATGTGAATGCAATTTTTCCCTATGCGAATACGTTTTACGATACTTTATAGACTACATAAGTTTTTTTTTTTAAGGCCACCACGTTCTGGGCTGTTTTTGGCCCGGAAATCGCCTCCTGGATTAAAAAAGTAAACAAATGTGTGGTTTGTTTCCATCCTAGTTTATTGGATAAGCCACGATGAATGGGAGTAGCAGAAGAAAGATTCAGGGATGAAAGTAATAGCAGGAGCGGAAGCTTCATATTTCGAACTGTTACCATCAGGGAGGCGTTATAGGTGGTTTAAAATGAGGACTAATAGACTTTCCCAAGGCAATAATTGTCTTGAATCAAACAGTGCATTTGTGATTTAGTCCTATGTACATAATGACATTTTTAAACTTTAACTTACGAAATGTTTTAGATAGGTTTTAGACTAGGTATTATTATTATTATTATTATTATTATTATTATTATTATTATTATTATATTTTAAAATACTCTGTAGTGTGATTGTGATGTGGTGTTTGGGGCACTGTGCTGGAGTAGCTTTCAAATTTCATTGTATTCGTGGAATGCAACGACAATAGAGGTATTCTATTCTATTCTATTCTATTCTATTCTATTCTATTCTATTCTATTCTATTCTATTCTATTCTATTCTATTCCCTATTCTATTCTATTCTATTTGTTATGTGATGTACCTGTTTGCCACTGTAGGAAATAAACAGGTTAGGGTTTGCTGTTACGTTGGAATTTAAGAATAATTTAAGACAGAAAAAGTAGTGAGAAGAAGGAAAAAAAATCACGAAATAACGAAGACTTGCGAATAGAAAGAGAAGGACCCATAAAATGAAGGAAGAGTAAAATATTCATGTTCTCCACCTGCCGACCTCGCCGGGTGGTCGTCAGGGAATGTCAGAGGGTGCCATGTCTCTTGTAGGCCGGCTTGAGTTGGGAGGAGAAATTGGGGGTCTAAACGTGGGAGCCGAGCTGTGCGTCATGGCTACAGTGGTTTTCTGTCTCTGGATCTTTGGTGTTTAGATCTCCTTGGAGCATGAAATCCTCTTGCACCCTCGCTACTTTGGGCCCAACCTTCTCAACACCGTGAAGCAGAAGCTTTTCACCGAGGTGGAAGGGACCTGTACCGGCAAGTAAGAAAGAGAGAAGAACCTGGGGTCCAATTTCAGGGAAGCTGGGCGGCCTTAAAATAATGGGGTGGAAAAAACCCCCAAAAAACAGCTTATCCGTAAAACTGTGTGTTTTCTTAATTGCTTTTCAAGAAGTTAGCAGAATTGGAATCTGGTATTTATTAAGGGTTTCCCTTTATTGCTTTATCAGGAACTCAAGGCGTCAAACGTATTTAACACCCCTTTCTCCTCTTATTTTTCCCACAACAACAACCCTGTGAGGTGGGTTGGGCTGAGAAAGATGGATTGGCGCAGCCATCATTCATGCCTAAGGCGGGACTAGAACTCCCAGTCTCCTGGTGATTGGCCCAAAGTCACCCAATCAGCTTTCATGCTTAAAATGGGACTAGAGCTCATCATCTCCTGGTGATTGGCTCAAAATCACCCATCCGGCTTTCATGCCTGAGGCGGGACTAGAACTCCCAATCTCCTGGTGATTGGCTCAAAATCACCCATCCGGCTTTCATGCCTGAGGCGGGACTAGAACTCCCGATCTCCTGGTGATTGGATCAAAATCACCCATCCGGCTTTCATGCCTGAGGCGGGACTAGAACTCCCAATCTCCTGGTGATTGGATCAAAATCACCCATCCGGCTTTCATGACTGAGGCGGGACTAGAACTCCCAGCCGCATGGTTTCCCCTATATGAAAATCTCAGGGGGAAAAAAAGGAAAGCAACCAATAATCCCTGGGGGGGAATTTAAAAAAAAGAGAGAGAATTCACTTTAATGCAAGTATTCTCACCTCTCGCTTCCAGGTACGGCTTCGTCATCGCCGTAACCACCATCGACAACATCGGGGCAGGTGTGATTCAGCCGGGACGTGGCTTTGTCCTTTACCCCGTCAAATACAAAGCGATCGTCTTCCGTCCCTTCAAGGGCGAGGTGGTGGATGCCATTGTGACTCAGGTGAACAAGGTGAGTCCCGATGCACCTGCGGAAACCGTGAAGGGATGTTTCCAAAACCTCCTTGGGGAGTTTGTGTCTTAATTTCTGGTTTTGCAACCCAGGTTGGCCTCTTCACCGAGATCGGACCGATGTCCTGCTTCATATCCCGACATGTGAGTGGACCCGGGGTGTGTGTGGGTGGGTGGGGGGATTGAGCGATCCCGTGTGAAACGGGCCAGGGAAACCAAAGGTCCCTGCTTAGCTGTTGATCCCAGATCCTTGTTCTCTCCACAGTCGATCCCTTCCGAAATGGAGTATGATACTAACTCCAATCCGCCCTGCTACAAGACTGTGGATGAGGTGAGGATTTTTTTCCTAAGGAAAGGAAAAAAAGTACGCAGACTGGGGGATTCTGGGAGTTGAAGTCCACCCATCTTAAAGCATGATGGCTGGGGGATTCTGGGAGTTGAA